CGGTACGCCTGCACCCGGTTGTGGTGGAAGGGGACCGGGCAGGAGAAGGCGAAGAAATAGCCGGGGGGAGGAATCACGGCTTCAGACCCATCTCTGTGCTTTGCTGGCAGCACCCCGTAACTTCAGACGGCAGAGCGTCTAGCGCCGCGGGTTGGGAGAGGCTTACGTAAATGAGCCCTCTATTGAAATAAAGATTTGAGACATATCCTCGGGTGTGCTGGCTATTTATAGCAGCTTGCTCGTGATGCTCGCCATTCCTCTGGCACTGGATATGTGAACTGTGCATAAACAACTGCCCTTTTATTAACTCCGGAGGCCTGGACTCCCATGCTTGGCCGATAGATCCTGGTGGATTATCGTGTTGACATCTCTGCTGTGGAAGGAAAGTCCACCAGCACCTTTTATTATTGGGTCAGCTCCCTAACCGAAACCTTGTGTCATTTCTTCCCAGCAATGAGCCACTTGTCAGGAATAGCAGAACATTTTCCACTGCAAACTCAAACTGATCGCTTGGCTGATGCATCCTTATTTTAATGGTGCTATGAGGATTTACAGCAATAGTGGGTCCCTAATTTTTCATTTATTTTTTTCCCATGGTGTTGCACACCCTTTTTCTGTTCGCTGATGTGCGATACTCCCTTTGCTTTTGCTCTCCGTTAGTGCTTTCCTTGGTCAGACCACCTGTGGTCCACCTCCATGTTCAATCCAGAATACACCTTATTCAGGGCAGAAGAGAGAACTGGAAAACAAGAGACCTGGTGAAGAACTGATGTTTTTACCATCAGGTGCTTGCTTCTGTGCTTTCAGATATGTTGGGCCTTAGTTGAGTTAGCAGTCACAGGAAACTGCAAGAGTTACTCTAAAGCCGCCCTGATAGATCTAATTCTATCTTGAGGGTGTAGGGGTGCCTTAAATGACTTCTCAGGATCCCTTCCAGCCTTCAGTAGTACTCCATTACATTGCTCTGTTAACCCCATTGATGGGCGCAAAGGATAGGGTAACAACTCATACCCAAACAAAAAAAGACACTGAAAGGTGACAGACCGGGCACCTGAGCATTCATCTCCTCTTTGTTCCCAGCAAGCTCTTCCTCACACTGTAGATGGCCCACCCTTGGATGCCTGCGTCCACCTCCCTGCAGAACAGCAGGGATGCTGTCAATATGCTTCAAAGCAGTCTGTGCCCCAAATAGCACATGTCCCAAAGGCACACTTAGCTGAGAACATTAGCGCATTCATACCAAGAACATCGCCCAGCCTCTCCCAGTGTGCTCTTTCCTGGCAGACTTGATAGAGAAATCACAAAAGCAGTCACGCAGCCTATTCTTACATCTGCTCTCATTTGTTTTCCCTGGGCTTTGTATTAATTTGGACACAGGAGTTTCTTGATAGAAAATGACAAGTGAGAAGCGCTGGAGGTGTGATGTGCTGTTCGTGATAATCACCCATTGAAAGCTAATGGCACTTTCATGCTTCCACTCCAGTGATTCATTAAGGAGCTGGAAAAGGCCTGATTTGGACACTTCTTTCCTTGCTAATTTGTTGAAGTAAAGTTAAAACATTCTGCTTGGAGCTTAACAGATGTGGCTTTATAACTTGCTAAATATTTTCTGGAAGGTTTGAGGTTAAAAGAAGAAATTGTTAGAAAATATGAATTAATTTAGAGATGTCCCTTTGCCTTTGCCATTCCTTTTCATCAGAACAGGTCAAATTAAGAAGATCCCCTTCATTTCAGATCAACTCATTGAGAGCTGAGGGGCTTTGAGCGGCTTCTTGATAGAGCTCTGCATCTAAAAGTAGTTTGTGCATGGTCCAGATACCTCAACTTCAGTACCATCTTTTAAAGAGTTAAAAACATTTGTTCAGGATGGGCATGAGCTTTTAAAACCCTGTCAGGTATACTTTGGATACTGCAGGTGGATCGTCACCTTTGTGTCTCTTGTGCTCTCTCTGTCGTAAAACACAGCACTTCAGTGCAGCTCAGGGGATGTGCAGTTGGTTACAGCAGCGGTGCCTAAGGAAGCACCTGGGATGCTTGGCTGGGTCCAAACTGGTGAAGCACAGTGGCAAAATGTCCTTGGGAGAAATTTTGTGTCGTCTTCTCAGTGCTACTAATATAGTTTTAAACCAAAAGTGTCTAAATCGCAGGGAAAATAATTGGTTGTATCATACAGGCTCTGCGCCTTGGGAAACTGCATTTGGATGGTGTCTTGCAAAGAAAGCGAGAAACATCTCATAGTTCATGGAAGAGCTTAGCAGAGTACATTTTCAGAGCTGCCTAATAAGAATTTGGGGTGAGGGGAGTTCTGGGACATTGGCAGGACATCCCAGGTCCATTTTGCTGCATTCAGGCTGTTTTATACCCCTTTTGTGGTGGGGCGGCGATGGGGACTCAGAGGTGAGAGGCAGCTGTGCCTGGTCCCAGCGCTCGTACTGCAGCAGCGCAGGAGCTGGCTGGTCACCCTCCCTCCTGTCTGCAGAGAGCTGTGAAGGGTTCCCAAAATATCTTACTGCTGCTGGCAGTGGGGCAAGCATGGAAATCGAATCGATGTGTTCAACGTGAAGCACGAGAGCTGTTCCCTTGGTCTGGTGCAGACAGGTCTATACAGGAGAACCCAAGTTTTGCAGGGGAGAGCAGGCATCCCCTGTGCAGTCCTCTTGTATTTGGGATATTCTCCCTCTCTGCTTCACCAGACAATGGCAGAAGCTAAGACGTTCTTGCTTTGTGGTTGATACATCCTTATCCAGCTCTAGGATCCAGTTTCTAGGTTAGCTATATTGAGTAATTAAGCAGGAACATCTATCCCAGTTAGTCAGGAAATCAAGAGTCAGGTCCTGAAGATCGAGGAACTTAAAATTCATTGTGCATGTTAACATCTATTTGCTCACTGGTTTTTGAGCCACAGAGGTTTATGCCTTCAAGCTTTATCTCATGTCACCGAGGGCTAGAAACTTGCTTTGTTTTTTTAAAGCACTGTGGAAAGACATGCAGGTGGCTGACTCCAGAAGATGGGAATTGAAAGGAAACCATCCTACAACCGCCTGGTAAACCATGAGTGTTTGCAGGACCATGATGTCCCCTTTCTTGACAGTCGCCCTGTACAAGTGAGATTCCTTGCCCGCAGCCCTCGCGTCGCAGCCTTCGCTGCACCAAGCTTCAGTTCTCCCCTTTACAAATTCATGGGCTAGGGGGACATTCATCCCACTTGTGTTTGCATGACACTTGAACAGTGTTTGTGTTGTTTATACATCAGGGACATGTCCTCTGCACAGGGCAGTGCGCGTGTCCCACACATGGCAGGGGGAGCCCTTGGAGCAGCCGTCACAGTGTGGGTGCACCCATGGGTGCTTCTGCCCATTCTCCCCCCTTTGACCACCTCTCCTGCAGCCTCCCAAGTCAGACCTTGTCAAAAAATGTTCTCTGCCCAGCACTGAGCTCCTGGTGCCCTTGCAAAAACATATTCCCTTATGCCTGTGGGAAATCTGCAGGATCAGATCCTTCAGTGGGACGTGGCTCTGAAATCCCTGTCCTGCACGTGGTGGATACGTGCCAGATGATAGCACATTGTTGAATAATTTGCTGCACTCTAATCTCCAGCCCGCAGGAGCCGAGTAAATTGATCCTATACTTTCTGAGCTAAGCTTTATTGTCCGGCCAGGGTAGCTCACAGAACCGCAAGCTCCATTTCTACTGCGGACAATTGCAAGCACCAAAAGTGGGAATCACTGTTGGTAGAAAGTGCAGGTTTTATAGGCTTCCCTTTTGCCATTTCGATCTAGATGACATCATAAAACGCCACAGGAAAGAGCAAACAGATGCCAGTGCCGTGGGGGACAGGCGAAGGCAGCAGGTCAAGAACAGGAATTCAGCGTACGGGTATGGGCGGCCCCGTTTCCGCACCTGGATGCAGAGGAATTTGCAAGGTAGGTGAGTGCCTTGGGAAGGCAGAGGCCTGCCAAGCTGGAAAACACATTTGTGTAACAAAATACAGCTCTTAAATCCTTCTCCTATCTAATTCCTATGTGCGTATAAGATGTACTTGGGCTCTGAATAGCTTTTCTCTCTGCAACAATGGAATATCAAGGCCCTTTCAGAGCATAAATTCATCCATTTCTCTCCCTTCCACCCTCTCATGAATTACTAATTCAAAGTGACTTAATATCTATTCTCTATTCCCTTTTGGCTTTGCATATTTTAATTATGCGTTTTCCTAATCTTCTTTTTCCCAGAACACACTTAAATTACCCCTTCAGTAACTGTCTTTGATAGCTCAGTTATTGGAGCTAATTTGTCACTTTTGCAAACCATGCTATTTTTATAATGAGTAGTTTTTTTAATACCGTGTGATCACACACTAATCTATGTTTGGTTCCACTAGCTTTTATCTACAAAACCAAAGTGATCTGCTGCATGAAATGCCATCTTTATTACCAAATTTTGCTTTTTTTTTTATATTACTGCTAAATCACTTCATTGAAGATTTTAGTGACGTTTTGCAGCAATGTCTTTGCAGTCTTCCCTTGGAGTGCCAATAGCACATCAGGACAGTGGGACTGCTGGGAGCAATCCTGCTTGTCTCTGATCTGCCTCCCACTCTCATGTTCTTGGTCTCCACCACATACTGCCTTACTGAGAATCGTTCCGGTTCAAAATAGAATGATTATTGCCCTTTGCAAATTGATTTTTCTGTCAAAAACACAGGCTTTGATATTCTTCCACGCTCAAGCAACTACTGTGTGCAGAGTCAGGTAAATCAAACAAAATATTTTTTTTAGCTATTCCTTAGAAAGGAGAACTTTTCTGTTCATTTATAGAATTATTTCTGCTAGTCTTGATATTTCATAGGTTTTAACTGAGTCTGAATTCAGCCCTGCCAAGTGCAGGGACTCACCGTGCTGTGTGCAGCTGATGTCAGTAGCAATTTTGGGAAGCTCAGCACGACTGGGAATTTAGCCCATAATTCTTCGGGGGCTCATTTCACTTCGGTCCCTGCTGAAATGCAGTCCCTTCTGGGCTAAGACCTGATAACCATTATCAAAATGACAATCTGAACAGCCCAGTGCTGTAATGACAGGGCATGGAGAAGGGTATTACGCTGATTAAACCAGCAAGAGAATTCATGCAGGCGAAGTGCTGTTATCCCACCTGGAATATGGCTTAAACCATCTCCCCAGCGGGGAAAGATGATTTTTAATGAGAAGAAATTTGAATTTCAAATCTCCTCGGAAAAAGAGTCTGTCAGACATTGGAGCTTCTCCCCAAATGGCACTTGCTGGGCAGAGGTGCCTCTTGGCCAGCCCAGGTGTGCTCAGCACCAGGCTCTGAGCATGCACCCAAACAAAGGGGGGGCTCTTCCCCAGCTGCTGATGCTGTGGGGTTTTATTCAAATGTTCTTTCATTAATAAATATCTGCCAGACTTCTTGCAGAGGTGGAGCCTCCCATGTGTCTCACTTCAGGATACACGTGGCAGACCGAGGCCTTGGTCCCCAGCTGGTGTACACAGGGTACCCCTCAGAGGCCGATGGCTCCATCGTTAGTTATTTGCACTGGCTGGGGCGTGCCTGAGTGCACCGCTGAGCAGAGGCTCTCTAATACGAACTGACTGACAGGGGCATGATTTTCTAGTCAGGGCTGCCTTTTGCATCAGTCCCTCCCATTGCACCGATGAAATACCCAGGAAAGGCAGCTGAGCTCAGCCTCAGAGGAGATGCCCTCTCCAGCGTGCAGGAGAGCTGTGTTGCAAGGCTTGCTGGCCCACGGGAGAGCGGTCTGGCAAACAGGCAAGAGAGGGGGGCAAGCCCAGGGTGGTTGTTGAGGGGAACAAGAAAGGGAAAAACAAACTGTGGGGACAGAATCAGGAGGGCAAAAAAAGCCATTAAACACAGCAAGACCACATCTGGTCAAAAAGACACAGATTGCCAAAATTCAGGAGAGGAACATTTACATACCTGCACTGCTGCGGTGAGAGGGCATGGTTTGCAAAGAAAATAACTACTGGCCCCACAGAGCTTGTGAACAGCATTGCATTTTTGTGAGTGTTCACAACTAGCACCTCTGGCTGCAGGGAGCGAAGCACCCTGACGTGCTGTTCGGGAGGTGCTTCCCACGGGCATGCCTTGGTTTAGAGCCAGAGCAGATCAAATCATCTTCACTTGAATTCCAGTGTAACCAGCCCACGCTGGTGCTGACTGGTGTTACACCCTGGGGCTGGAGCCTTCATTAATCACTGCGGTGATAGCCCCTGACAGCAATGTCACTGCTGCCTCAGAACACTTCATTTCTAATTGCTCCAAGTCATTATAAATTGCTGTGATGTAGGAATTGATGGTATAGGATCAATACATGTGTCTAACTGCTCTATGGTCTATATCAGTGAGGTTCTGCTATCTGGTGCAGGGGTTTAACCACACTCTTGCTGCCCTCTGCCATGCACTTGTTTATGCCTGATTTATACACCCCGTGAGTATGTGCACATTTCACTGGTATAGCGACTTGGAAAATGTCTACTTCATTATGACTACAGAAGTTTATCATGTGGAGTAATAAGGTTTTAATGCACTGTGCCTCCATCTGACGGAGTGCTTTCCTCTTGCTCGACACTTCAGCACACTTCAAAATTGTAAATAGGCTTAGGGGAAAACGTTAAATGCAAGATGGGCTGTTGGTGTGTATGTACTGTGTAGTTATGTAAAACAGCAGCAGAAGGTGCCCCCTTCAATATATGCAGTAAGTAAGGATATGTCAAGCTAAAAAAAACCCAATATTTTAAAAAAAAAATATAGATAGATATTAAAAAAAAATTATGGTCTTATCAAGTGCTATGTGGGCACTCAGAGCTATTCTAGGCTGCTGTGGGGTTGGCTTCTGGATTCTCGAGTCACTTGTGTATATGTTTCAAAAGGCTTTTTCCATTTCACAGTTAATTCATAGCAGTGTGAGCTCTGATAACGGATTGACAGGTTTCCTGATGCGAGTGTTCCTGCCTTTATTAGGAATCAGAATTGTGGAAGGCTTTTCTCTTCTATATTCTTTCAAATCAAATAATGTGTTTGTCAGTCCTACATATATTAAGAATGTTAGTGAGACATTGGAAAGATAAATTGTTTAATATTCTGCAAAATTAATTTACTTTTCTGGAATAAATTAATGTGATTCTTGCATCACTATCTATATAGATACTCCTACATCATATTAAGTTAACCTTGTAATCCATTTGCAAAACTGTAATCATAAATCGAGTTTTGAAGGATGCTAAAATAAGAGTTTATTTTCATAGGACCTAATCGTTTTAGAAGAGGGTTTGGACAACAACAATACAATCGGAGACAATTCAGGAATACTGTGCCTGGTCCCAGGAGAAGAGCAGCTGCCGCATTAAATGGAGTGAGCCCTTTAAATCGCCAGGCATCGGCTCAAGAGGTAGGGGGGTAAGGAAGGTATAGCTCTTCTCAAATGTCATGTAGAAATCTGCTGGATTTTATGATCCTGGATCACCCCAAAGAACAATCTACATAAAAAATTTACAGGCACCATCTTTTATATGCCTGTGCACAGCATTTGTATGCAGAGGTGAGTACAGACACATATGCATATAAAATAGCAATTTTCCAGTTGGTTTTATAAGCTTATGACTTGGTATAATCTTACTGGATCAGTTCCCATGGGTTTTAAAAAAATCAAAAAAGATTTTTAAAAAATGTGTTCTTAAAAGATTTTAAAATATTTCCATAAAAACAAATTCTATGTCATCTCATCTTACTATTATCATTTAGAGGAGGTATGTTAAGATTCACCATTATTTGTCCTCCACCCAGAGCATTTTCCAAGGTCAGTGAAGTCAAAGGACAGGCTGTTGTTGACTTCATGTGGCTTTAGTTCAGAGGCATACTTTTCACTAGCAAGTGGGTATCCCCCCCAGAGACACTGATTCCCAGTATTGTGACAGCCATGGGTCAGATTGCCCACATGCTTCAGTGTAAAATGCATTTGTTTTCATTCATGGCTTTCCCTTTTTCGAGTTTAAATGTTTAGGTCTTGTCTCTGCTCAAAAACACTTTAAAAAAAAGATTGAAATATTTTCATTTGGGTTTTGACTTACTTTTAAGACTAAAGAGATGGGAAGGAAGATATGTGTTCACCATTAAAGTAATTCTTACAGCTTTCTTCTAAGTATCACTTAATACTAAACTGGCTTGGTGTAGAAGGTGGAAATCAAGCGGGTAGGTAGTCCTCTGTGAGACGGGGTTGTTTTTTCCGCACTGATCGAAATCCACTCAATTAGGAGGTCATGTATGTTCGGTAAGCTTTTAAAAAAACACCAATGTGGCAAACATGATGGCACATTTAATGGCTGTGTCCTGGGGGTATAAATAAGAGAGCCCTAAACTGAGCATACATGTGCATAGAGTGTGGTTGTTCCTGAAAATAAAGACTGTGATGACTCAGATATTGAGTGTGGCTGGGTATTAACAGAATGTAATAAGAGTTGCTAGGAGGCATAATTCTACAGTAGCTTCCATTTTGCAGAAATAAACCAAGTGGGAAGAATGTGGAAACACATCTCAGTTAGCGGGTAGTAACAGTGATGATGGTTGTCCCACAGAAATAAATGGGATAGAGTCTGTGGCAGTTTGTATAAGTAACTGCAGGAGGACCTACACTGCTGAGGGGTCTTCTGATGTGCTTCATGCTTCAGGGCTTGGACTGGGCAACGTACGTGTCCAAACAAGAAAGAGTCAATGACTGAAAAGAAACCTGAGCAAAGCTATAATGCTTGGCCTGTGCGAGATTTGCTCTCCATGGACTAATTTCTTTTTGGTATTTCTGCATCATTAGAATGAAACATTCTTCATGGTACTTGTAGTTTCATGCCCAGGAACCGAGGCGCACATACTGATTGTTGACAACAGTATATACTAAGTCCAAATGTTGAGACTGCAGCAACATTGCTTGGTAGAAATATTGCTGTCGTAGATAAAAAAGACCATGGAAGAGACCAGGTTTTAACAGATGTAGTGAGGAATCAGTTTCCCATCAGGAAAATATCAAAGGAGAAAAAAAAAAAGCACTTGCAGAGCAGGGTGTTCTGTTGCAAGGCTGCAGAAGTTGCAAAGGCAAAACAGTTGGGAATGAGAATACGGGGAATGCAGAGCACACAGCGCGGGGCTGAGCCCCCTTTGAAGCAATTGTAAGTGGCGCTGAACGTGTCCGAGAGCAGCAAGGGAACCGCTGCAGTGTCAGCAATCACCACCTGCACTTGGGAGCAGGCTGGATTTCCCCCTAGACAGAGCCAAAGAAAAGGCCAAATAAATGCGCTGGCTTTTCAGGCAGCAGCAGTCAGCAGAGGGAAGGACGGTCGCATGCTGTCGCTCGCGCTCGCTCCCTCTTCGTGCACCGAGATGGCAGCGCGGGTGGCAACTGCTGAGCTCTCGCTGCTCTTTCAGGGCAACAAGAACAACGATGCTTTCACCAAAAGCAGCAGCAGCGGGCAGCCGGAGGGACGGCGACGGCCACCCCCAGGTCCCAAGAGATTCAGAGCAGCTGCTGCCAGCACCCACGCCCCGGGGAGAAGGTAAAATCTTTGGTAACTCTGGCTTCTCATTTTCAGCAATTCCCTGTGCCGCTCCTGGGGCTCTGCTCTCGGTCTGTGCCAGCTGGGAGTGGCTACAGCCGTGTGCTCACGTAATGTGAGAAAAATACCCCTGGGTATGTTAGGAAAGCACCTGGAAATAAAACCACCTTGTGCTGATAGTCAATAATTCAGGTATTAGATCTGTCATTTTATTTTAGAAAGCATGGAAAATGTGACCCTAGTATTTTTATTAAACTTTTCCTCTGTCACTTTGGGGAAAACTTTTGAAGGCTGAAATAGCATTTATTTTCATAAAGGCAGGAAATACAGATTCCAGCCATAAGGGATAGGCAGGGAGAGGGAGTCTGTCCCGGTGAGGGGCTGCAGGAGCAGACGCTGCGCCCCAGGAGCTGTGATGAAGGCAGGCTGCCAGGCGCTGGGCACAGTCTCGGTGCCTGTCTCATTGTGGTCCTTGTGTTCTCCGAGCTCAAATGGAAGCTCCGTTGCAATCCTGAGTAGAGCAGGGAGTGAATGACCTCTGGAGGTCCCTTCTGACCAGATCTTTTCCTACAATTTTCTTCCATGATTTTTTTTTTTTTTTAATGAGCAGAGTTCAGAACAAACACAAGCTGTTGTTTCATTTGAGCAGAAAAACAAGTTCCTCTGAAATCCTTTGCTGGCAGAAAAACCTGTTGGGCTGAACTTGGTAACACACAGCCTCATTTGCTTCTCTTACTGCTTTTTAATACCACACTGGGTTAGGTATTTCAGCATTAAGCTTTAGGAAATACCTGGCATCATATTCACCTATGTCCTTTTCTCTCTCCTCCTTTACCAGCAGGCCTTTCCAGCTAAACAGGGGACCAGCCTTCCAGCAGAAGCGGATGCAGCAGCGATTCTCCAAAGCCAACTTTCAGAGAGGGGTCAGTATCGAGACATTTTTTCTGCAACCTGCTGATGGTGATAAGTCTTCAGTTTTACCAGCCTTTGCCCAGTTGTATCTTTGCTTCCAAAAGTAACGGGGAGAGATGGATGACTTTAACAATGAATGTATTCCTAGGAAAGTATTTGCAGGACAGGCAATTTTTAATGCAGCTTAATATTCTGGCAGCTGGAAAATAAAACCTGGGCAGGTGATAAAAGTAAACCTCGCAGCTTATGCAGCAGCACAAGCAGGGCAAAGTGGAGCCACCCCATAGAGATCGCTGTGCCAGCAGGAAACCCAAGATTAGCAAATTTTCTGAGAACATGCAAGGAAAGAGCTATTCAGATACACCAAATGAAATACTGGAAAAGGAATCATTGTTTCTGAGAGCGAATTCTTTAAGTCATTTTTTTTTTAAATATATTTCACAGCAGATGGATGCTAATGGAGAAGAGAAACCACCAAGGATGAGAAGGTAATTGGTGAACAAAGGCATGCTGCAAACACGACGTGCTCTTTCACACTCGAACTGAAGCTGGATACATCTCCCTGTCTCGGCAGGTGGCAAGTGAAACCCAGCCCCGGAGCAGTTCTGACGGTTTCTGTGGCTAATCCCCAGGCGGGCCAGACTGGCGCGTAAGTAAATGAGATGATTTGTTAGGATGAGAGCACTACAAAAGCCATTGCAAATCCCTTTAGCATTATTGTAGCTTCACTTCTTCTATAACGAGTGCGCAGTGAATGGTTCAGACCCAAAATGATTAGCAAATGATGTCCCATTCCCTTCCCGGCTCTGAAAGGAGACGGTAATTACCGTGCGGCTCGTTTGTTATCCAGAGTAAAGAGAAATGGAAGCACTGGCAGCGCGTGGGAGGTGGCAGGCTGGTTGTGCTCGCTGTGGGGTGTTGCGGGGGAAACGCCGGACACCGCACGCTCGCTGTGTAAGAGGAGCGCGGAGGCTGGAAGGGGGCAGCTTCACCCCTGGGCTGAGCCGGAGCAGCTGCAGGACCTGGCACCCAGCTAGGGGCAGAAAGAAGGGTTGGTGAGGGCACTTGGCATGTCCTGGGCGCAGAGAGCACCCCATGATAGCCTTGACGTGACACAGTCCCCAGTGCTGGAACTCTGCCTGCATGGCAGCTCTCCTGGCACCCTTTAGACTCACCCAGGCTGCCGTGAGACATGCCGTGGGATGTATGGGGCATGCCGGTGTCTCCTTTACTCCTTGCTGGTTTGCAGATGATAGGAAGTGAGCTGCCTTAGCATCCTGAGTGACTGCAGATCTGTGCTTTCCCCAGGCCTGGATCCAAGCGACCATACCTGCGAAGCCAGAGGCCCCCGCCGCGGGTGGCCAAGCCCCAGCCCAAGGGGGTGCTGCTGAGATTCAACTTCCGCGCGATGGCCAACCAGGTAGAGGATTGTCGACGGGACAGGCGGCGCCTTGCAACCTGCAGCAGCCCTGCCACTAAGCTGTTAACATCACGCTCAGGTTTTTGGGGCTGCCAGTTGGGTTTATCTAGCATAACCTGGGAGGAAAGTCCTGTAGCTGTGTTGGCTAGGTTGCTCACAAAACTGAAGGCACCTGAGAAGACTGTTCAGCAACTACAGACTCAGCCCAATTTTCCCCACTCGGTTGGCCCCTCTTGGCCTGTCCATGTGCTTGCTTGGAGTGGGGAGATGCTCCTTGTGAGCGGTCCTGGCTGGGGGGGACCGTTTCACTGTCGGTGCTCCCCACTCCTCAGAGACACACAGCACTTCTGGGCTTTGCTCTCCCTTTGCTTTGGTGACCTTCTCAGTGCCACGTTTTTGTGCTGAGGTATGGTCCAAGAGCCCCAGGGCAGGTCAGAAATCCTGCTCCATCTTCTTCATTGCCGGCATTTCTTGTCTGGACGGTTTGGTTTTACTTGATGCCTTGTGCTCAAATGCCATCTGCTTGCTCCTGTTCTTGCCGAGGACGCCAGGTGTCTTGGGGCTGGGCGCTGCTTGGAGGTTTTCCAGCCGCACACAGTCTGTCGAGCTCCTTGTCTCCGTGTGCTGAGTGGTTTAATTGACTAACTGGCTGTGAAGCACCGTCCTGACTGATGGGCTCTAATCAATACCCTGCTACAAGTTTGGCCGTGCTTTGCCACGAGACGCAGGACTGACTCGCTCTCCCTTTCCCCTGCAGACCAGCCTGACGCTGGATGAGAGGTTCTCTGGTCTGAGGAATAAGAGGCGCTTTACAGCAGCCAGGAGCGCCGGACGGACAGTCACCATGCCTTAGCACCGCATGCTTGTCATAGGAACTGCCCATAACAGTCCAGGCCCCGTACGGGCAGCTCAATAAAACTCGATAGATTTCCTCTGAGATAGCTAATTTGGCAATGTGCCGTCTCCTTCCTTACACGCAGAATGAATGAGCGATTGAGGGCAGGGACGAGGCAGGATGAGAGTTGCGCCAGAGCACAGGGCAGGTGGGACCTGAGCAGGGTGGTGGAGAGGGGTGAGTGGAGATGGATTTGCCGGGGAGCTGCAGGGCTGGCACCAGCACCGTCCCCCTCTGCTGCCCAGGGTGACTCCTGCAAGAGGGAGGAGGGACCAGCTCCAAGCCATAGCCATGGAGCCTTCCCTGCGTTGTCCCATGGGTGGGACAGGGTTGAGGACACTGCATCTGCCCGCGTGGGAGACGGAGCAGGGAGCGGAGCACGTGCGGGGCTGAGGGATGTGCCCCAGCAGTGGCACCAGCGGGGATGCTCCAGCTGCCCGCATTCCTCAGCATCCACCTAATTGCCCCATTTTTGTGCGTGCAGGCATCCCTGCCTGGAGGTTTGCAGTGTAAGACCCCTCCATCCTGAAAACGTCTCCCTCTGCCCCGATAGTCAGGCCTGAGCACCTTGCATTTGTCTTTGGTTTGCTGTGTTGTTCTAACTGCTGCTGCCGGCCCGGTTGTGGGGACGGGGTAAGACGTGCCTTGCTGCCGGAGTGACTGTCCTCAGCGCGGAGCACAGACAGGTTGCCCCAGCCCAACTCAGGTTTTCCAGCACTGCAGTAGTTCTGCATTAGGGATTTCGTAGGTGCAGCTCCACCCATGCTCAAAGCACTGGCATAATCGAACTAGCAGCTGCAGGAGGGAGGCTAGGCTCCACAGCGGTCCGATAAACATTGGCTGAGATGTTAATGAGCTGGGTCTAGACATTTGTTAATGAAGCCCTGCACCAACCGTGAGTCACTGATCCATTCTCCACCCCCTGCTGCAACCCAGCACTGAACGCGCTGGACACAGCCTGTTACTGGGCTCTAAGCTATACTTATTAAGGTAAATATTTGATAGACTGCTTTACATTTTACACTGAGCGTCTTTAACAAGAGACTGGACTCGGCGTTGGTTTTATAGGAATGTGTGAAATGTTGTTAGTTGACGAAGCGGTGATGTACGAGTCCAATGCACTGAATAAAAAACTAACTTGTCAAATGTCACCTCTGGTTATTTCCCTTCCTTCAACAGGCTTTTGGTGCAAGTTCAGCCTCTCAGTATGGCACTGCGGGGCACAGTACGTGCAGCCACATGGGCTGCTGCCTCGGCGCTTTGACCATGGTTCCCGTCAGTGCCCACCCGCGGGCAGTGGGGCACTGGCTTGGCCACGCAGGCAGTTTGCTGTTCGCAAAGCTGGCTCCAAAGCACAGCCAAAGCAGTGGGAAGTTTTCAACAGGTATTTTGTAAAATCTTTGCTGTGATCTCTTTAGCCTTTAACGTTATTGGCAAAATTATCAGAGCAGACCTGGCTCCGAGTATGTCCAAAGCAAAGTGAATGCAAACTGACTTCCAGGTTAATGAACTCAGGAAAAGACATCAATGTTTCAGGCAAATAATCTGGATGTCATGGAAGATGAACAAGAAACACTGTCACAAATCCCTGATTTCAGTTGCACCTTCACTATAAATACTGACAAAAGATGGTAGACTCGCTAAGAAAACCTGATCACTTCTTAAACCAGGTTGCAAAGGGATGGAGCCGTTCAGTCCTGAAAGAACGGCTGAGTGTGCAGCATCCCCTCGGTGTTCAGACCACACCCTGATACTATTCTCCAAATAGATGTTTTTCAGCAATCTGTACCTTATATTTTTTTAAAAGTACTCCTTAAATTAAAATTGAGGGCTTAATGATAAAAACTACACTTTTTTTCTAGCTTGATTGCCCCACAGGGCTGGGTGACTTTGCATGCAGCAAGAGATGAAACAGGCTTTGCACAGAAGGGCACATAGGTAGCAAAAAAGCATAACCATCGTGCTAAGAACATATTGGGAGACGACGCACAGTCAGTTCACTCCAACAGGCATAAAATACCCCTTTCTGCCACAGTACTAAAACCACAGAGTAATTATCTCTAAAATTATCCCTGCTGTCGTGCATAGGGCGAGCTGCTGCGCAGAGCCTGGCTGCTCTTTGGGGAGGATGTTTGTGTGACGCAGTTCAGCATGCTTCTTTAACCATCTCCTGGGAGATTTGTTTGTCCAGTCGGGCCATTTCTGATGGTTTCTGCGGCGGTGTCCGGTGCCGCACAGGCGGTCCGGCGGTCCCCTACCCGGAAGGTGGCAGCAGCCGGCTGTTGGCCGAGCCCCCCGCCAGGACGGCTGCTCTCAGGCTGGGGCCACCGGGAAGGGGCAGCTATGCAACCTTCAAAACATTTTTACTCTATTTCGGGCCAGCCAAAGCTAACTCTAGAATAACACCTCTGACGGTGTCTGAGAGGTTTAAAAATGAAGGAGCAACTGTACAGGGTCAGAAGAGAGTCTCTGTAGTGTATCCCAGGGGAGGGGGCACCAGCACATGCGTGTGGCCCCGGTCGGTCACTGCACTGAACCCACAGTACCAGTGATTTCTTTCTTTAGCCACTTGTATCATTGTGTTTAACAGCATTTGGTGGGGTTTTCTTCCACTACTGCTTTTTGCTGTTTGCTTTCTGTCTATTTGTCTATGCCTCCAAAGGCGGGTATTACGAGTGAATATTCGTTCCTTTGCAATTTATAGACCTGTGCTGTTCTCCCTTGCTCACCTCCTTTCTAGAAGAGCCTCGGTTTTTCTACTTGTCCACTGCCTAGAAGCTGATCCATCCCTCTGGTCACCTTTGTACCTTTTCTAGCTCTGCTTCATCTGTCTGAGACAACAGGGCTGAAGCAGACATGATATTTGAGATGGATTTATAGGGAGGCTCTGCTTTGTTTTCTGTTCCTCTCCTAACAATTCCTAACATTCCATGCTTTTTAACCCAGAATGGCCACTTGGAGTAGGAAATGGTAAGGCACATTTATATTGGTTTAATGAAACAACTTCCCAGGGAACATTTTCTGCAGAAGTCGGTCTCGCAGCCCACGTATCGGTGGTAGAGAGGGCACCTGGAAAGGCTGGCTGTAAGAGGACGTGCCCAAGGGTCCGACTTTCCCATCTAAGCACTAGCGCTGACGTTTGGTATTTTCTTAGCGGTTCACGGGATGTCTGGTTTGATGCTAAAAGCTACCTTTAATGAGCTTAACAGATAGGGGGTAGAAGGCCAGCTTTCACTGTGAATTTCCCCGTTTGTCAGTTCTTGCTGATTTTAGTGTCGTATGACCAGGAGGAGACGTGCATCAGGTTATTCCTCAGTATTTTGGGGCACACGTATTGCCACAGGGCAGGGTCCCAAAGTGGTGCCCCAGGAGCAGCATGGCAGTAGGGGCCTCAAGAATAAAACTGTCTGGTTTGGGGCAGACCCGTTGGTCAAATCCATCCTGGAAACAAAGCAGCAGCCAAGGCATCACACTCGGGGGCTGGCAGTCTTTCCTGCATTGCCATGGGGGTCCTTGTGCCCGCATTTGTCAGACTGGCTGCAAAACGGAGTCAGGCAGGGCATGAACTCGCTGCCTGCACTCGAAGGTGCAGGGCGAAGCGTCAGTGCAGCCTGCCGTCAGCAGCAGGAGTTGTTAGTTTTTAGGGGTCCTTGGAGGGATTCAGACAGCCAGAAACCACAGGCAAAATATTTAAACAGAAACCTGAGATCCAAACAGTATCTCAGGCACTGCAGTTCCCTCGGGGGCTGGCATAAACTGAGCTACAAGCAGAGCATTTGCCAGGCAGCAACCCAGTAGAAAAGAGTCACCACAAGCCAAGAAAAGACACGCAAACCCCTAGACTGAAATGCGAGGGGTGCCCCAAACTGGACCCCAGACAGCAAAACAACCTGGAGGGGGGAAAGTGTCTGTGGAACAGTACTTTATCAACTTACTTATTTCCAGAAATCTCGTATCATTTCTGAACAAACCAGCGTGCTACCCCACCACAGTGCTAGGTGAGAAAGCGATACAGGAAAGTGCTACAAACCTGAAGGATTTACCACAATTTCTTAGGGGACCAGAAAAACTAACAGCATCCCCCCAGACAGCACCAGGCAATCCCAGCCCTTCCAGCTGAGGCATTGTAACGGGCAGGATGCCCCACTTTCACGGCTAGCCCTACTCCAAGCCACCGTTAGCTTTGTCAGGAACCCACGCCCCGTGCTTAGGTGCAGAAATTGGCTCCATTTTGTATCCTGGAAAAGGGATAGGCTCTTCCAGAGTTCGACTAATGGGACTTCAACTTCCACTTGCAAGACAGAGAGTTATTTGTCCCCATTGCAGGTTTCATTCGCTGAAGTCTTATTCCCACTGTTCATCTGGATTAACTCTGACCACTTTTATAGGCAACATAACCTAAAGTGCTAAAATGTGGAGGCAAGAGGAACAGAAAAATCAGATTTGGGCTTTATCCACTCAAGATCAGAGGTTTAGGATTTAGTATTAAGCCATGTCCTAAAGCAGATCCTTCCTAGCTATGTCAGGACTGCTGCCAGCTCTCATGATTTTACTGAAAGTCCTGTGATGTTTAATGGTGCAGTGAAAACCCTGGTTCCTGGAGGCAGGTCAGGAGGTGAAAATCTTGGCTTGTCTGTATTAAAAAGTCAATTTGAAATGCTGTGGCTGTGCGGGGAAGACCGTGACCCAAGAGTAACTTAAAAGCTTGGGCGTCAGATGCCAAAAAACCAAGGAACCTCTTAATTTTTTTTTTTTAATGTCATGTTTCTAAGTCAATCTCATGATGTTTGGAGCTTGACTCATGACTCTGAAATGCTCAGAGCACACTGCTGGGCCAGAATTAATCCACAGTCATGTCTCATTGTGAATGGGAATCTCTCTGCCACCGCCAGCATTTGGAGACCTTTGTCCCCGCATCCCCATTGCGGCAGCACTTTGTGGCACTGCAGTAATAGCCC